TTTTAGTTTTTACCTTTCAAGATGAAATGGCATAAAATAAATTTCCATCCAAAGCCCAATCAGACGCGCTTGCATAAACCAAAACGGAACTTTGCATCAAACGAAACCTCGGATGTGAGAACTGGGGGGCAGATTAGCGTCATTCACACGAATATAATAGCGCTGCTGTACAGATACCTGGTAGAGATACGAAACGATGGACAAGAATCCTGATTATGAAAGACTTTAACGCATAATTCTAGCGTAAGCGACAGAAGCGCATATGAACTGCTATTAGCACTGCAATGTATGTTTGGTCAGAATGCATCTCACCCCTCCTCTCACTTTTTCCGGGAAACGAATTCACAAACCGGGGCATTATCGGCTTTAGCTTGATTCTGCTGATTTGAGATGAGCTGCACATAGGCGCGTCGCACATTATTCTTCTCCGAGCCAGTTTCGCCAACCAACGCAACTCGAAAGTAGGTAATTCGACTCAGTGCATTCGCTAAAATATTTCGCACTGCTGTTTTTTGAGCAGCGATGAGCTTCAGTATTGAAATTTTACAAACACTTCAATCCCCTCATTTTCGCGTCACATGCTTGATTATGACGTCAGCCCCGTCTCGCAAACAATGAATTGTGTGAATATCGAATACAGCGACGATGTTGAAGCCGAACATGATCGGAGCAGCCATACGAGGAAACTCCACTCTTTGCACAGTCCATAGTCAAGAGAAGGCGGAACTATTTCTACCAAAACAAGTGTGTATCACCTTGAAGATCCAACTGGGAAGTGTTATCAACCAGCCGTTCTTCCAGTAACATCTGCTTGTTTTTGGCAGCAGCGGGAGTGGACATGCTTGGACTCAAGAGTTGCAACGATGAAGAGTAAAAGTAGGCGCAACTGACTTAGCAACTGTAGCGAAATGAACTGGTGGCCCAAAATGCTTTTTTTATACAATTTAGAACCAGAAATTAACATAATTTTGTCGCAAAAGATTTGCCAAAGAGAATTAACACAGCTTGAGAAGATCATTTAGAGACGCGCACTGAGCGCGCCCGTGCGATTATGCGTTTTCGCAGCATTTTGTGCTGTAATAAGATCGCTTGAAGTCCCAGTAGCTAGAATTTCTAGCGTACTGGTCCCTCGATGTTCAGGAAGTTGTTCAACCACGTAATACTTAATCAGGGAACATCTCAAAATTTCGACCTTCTGGCTTTTCCGATTCTCAAGTTAGCAGTTTTTCCGCCAAAAATTTTTGCATGACCGCATGTGAGAACCACGCGTACCTAGAGGCTGAATTTGAAATTTTTGAGCTATACATGGGTGGGGAAATCCTCTTTGAATTTCAGCCTCTAGCTTTCCTGGTTCCCAAATTGGCGATTTCCTTGACAAAAAATTTAACGAGGCCTTACATGAAAATCGTGCGCACCTGGGAGCTGAATTTGAAATTTTTGAGTTCTAATTTGAAATTTTTGAGTTCCAGAAAAGTTAAAAGGCTCAAATTTTGTGGGGGGGGGGGG